GAAACCGACACCAACCAATGACTCCTTTTTTAGTTCATCCAATTCTGTGTGAGATATGTTAAAACGCTTTAATTCTCTATTCAATTATAGTTTTAATCGATCAAAATAAAATCCTTCAGAACTTTTGATGTTAGTTAAATACTTAAAAAAAGTTGTCAAGAGTTACTATTAAATAAAAAAAATTTGCTGTAATTTGTTTTCTAATGACGAACGATCGAGTTAAAAGATCATCGGAGGTGTAGAGAAAGACCATCGTTGACGCTTTTATTGTCTGGCAACGTACAAAGAAGACTACTTCCACTTGGTTAACTGCTACCATCGATGAAGGGAACAATTCGATTTATTTACCAAGCACATTAATTCTTGTTAACACGAAGACTACTATATCGTTAACGGTTTCGAGTAAATATACGGCCCGTTACGTCGAATTACGCACCGATTTGCCCATTATTCGATTTAAGCGCCCACAAGTACCCCGAAAGGCGACCGTTGATTGATAAACGGAATATAACACTGGATATGCACTTATTCATTGGTTATAATACATTCTTAATTCAATCCGAAATCGACAGCCCTACTTATACACCGCTGAATTGATATTTTTCATTTAATGTGAAACATAAATACTGCAATGTTTTTACACAGATACAATTCAATGATTTCAATCCGTCATATTTTGTAACCGTTTTTAACATTTTACTGACGCATATATACTTTAATTAAAATAAACAAACAGACTCGAGAACACAATAAATCGTAAAATAATATTTATTACTTGTAATATTGTTAATTACCTCAATGAAGAAAAGTGTTGTTAAAAACTACTCATAAATAATGACATTTTATCACATCCTTCCTGAAGTATTTTCATTTAATTAAACCACTTTTTATCAGAATTCAACATTTAATTATGATAAAGGTTGACTTTTACACGTCGTCGTCTCGTCAAATGATAAAAACGAAATCGAATATTGTTTAGTAGCTGTACATAATGACGTTTAAAAAATTAAGTAAAAAAAAACCCTTCAAAATGAAGAAGAACGCTAGGGGAGAACGCGTACGCTTACCAGTTGACAGGTTCTATAGAAACGTCATGACGTTTATTATTAAGACGAGACGACTTGATAATGGATATCAATACTAATAATGTTTAATACTTATTTTATAGTAAGTTATGTTTGGAGTAATGAATTGACGTTGCAAACGAACCTGTGCGGTGGACGACTGAGTTTGTTTATCGACGAATAAGGAAAGACGTTTGTTTACTTTGTTGTTTGTATTGTGTTGTAGACCTGTTTGACAATAACACAATTAATACTTAATAAAAACACGAACGACGGTTACCACGTGTAACACAGTGAACCGCTAGCCTCGAGCTAATAATAGTATCTTTTTTTAGAACTAACAATTTTAAACGCAACAAGATTATAGTTCGTGTTGTGTTGATTCGAAGAAAAATGTTTTATTATTGGCGTACTCGCGTGTATTGTAATAAATGAATAAATATCCAATGAATAGTAAAAGTATATTACCGTTATGATGTGTAATGAAGTTTATTTAATTGTATTTACGATGGCGCATATTCATTGTATTATTTTGGTACGCGTGTGTGCACAGAAATAATGACACTGGTGTTTCCGCGAAGGGCAGTGGGCCGAAAATGAGACCGTTGGAAGATAATTACGTTTACAATTACTAATAAAACCACCAGCGCTGATAAAATATTCGAAATCTAAAAAATAACAACCAAACAATTTTTTATGCTGTTGCTGCTTTTTACGCAGTCATTACGACTGTAACAATCATAATTTGGGGAACCGGCAATTACAATACTGCGTTCACGCGTGATAGAGAAAAGGCGAGAGATGTTTACTTTTTTTACCGAGTGCCTTGGACCGTAGTATATTTTCTGTAAAATCACTATAATAGATTATTGCCAATTATCGAGATCCAGTTGTAACAAGATGGCATCCTGACGGCCGAGTACAATAACGACCTCTCTATCAAACACAGAAAACCTCCGGCTGACAGTTATGATAATAATTGTGTACGTACGTGTAATAATGTAAATACACGTATAATTGTGATTCAGCGTTTTATAATTTTTGAGCTGTTGACCTGTCTGTAGTAATCAGCCCACACACAACAATAGTCCTGGCAATAATGACTAGTATATTTTTCAATACTGTACATTTTTTATCCTATGTATAACTTATATTTCAATAAACCGAAAAATGTTTACGTTATAGAGAGTTTAAAAAGTTGACTGTGTAAAAAACGTAGTTGCCTACTTACATTCTTAAACAATTGCTGTCATTAATTTATTAGAATTTGTAATGCTTACAACTTGAAGAAAATGTCACATTGTTATTATGTTAAAACGCGTTTACATTTTGAATTCTAAAAATTAATTCTATTAAAACATTTAGTTGTTTCATACCTAAAGTAGGCGTTTAAACAATCGCACAGAATAGTTTTTATTTTTGAATGCGATTATAAAAACGCGACCATTAAGTTATTATCTCTTTGTTCCAAAATTAAATGCGTTCCCTTTTTTAAAATATATTGCTTGTCGTAAACAGTCAATCACTCGATTTGGGGGCGTACTTGTAGCCTAGAGAAAGCATTGGAGTTCGGCCGAGGACACTGTGTTATTTTCACCACCACCTCCGCCTGATGGGGTCCTCGTGCCTCTGGAAAGGAGATAGAGTTATAGAAGGTCGGACAACAGGAGGAGAAGGATGAGAGGGATTTGAAAACGAATGGTTGTGATGCGGTAGTGTAGCGGAAGTTATTTTCAAATCAACATCGCTACGGGATGCCACGAGCACGGCTAGTCGGAGGGTCCTCTAAATAGTGAAAATCTCCACAAAAACGTCGATAATGAAACCGAACACGAGCGAAGTTAATAACAAAAAAAGGAAAACTACTGTTGCGGATGCCCCACGGGGTCAATTTGACAACTAGGGCGTATCTTTCCGAAATGCCTCCAAAGAGAACACAAAAACGATAATGCATGTTTATTAATACGAATGTACACTATTTGAATGAAATTCTGAAGCCCTTTTACCATTAAAACGTCCATTGGTCATTTGTTCTCCCTATGATATGAGAACTGATTACAATTACAATTACGGTAAAAGCAAAAAACCTATTGATTTGTTGTTGAACAAAATTTAAACACAAATAGTCGACATAATAATGCATACTACTAAAAGAGAACATACTATAGGGATAACTTTCTTTCGAGTTATTTTTTAATTTTTAGACAGTAGTACTATTGTATATAGGTGAATATGTCTTGAGTTTATGATAATCAAAAAGGGCAGGCGAGCTACCGAGAAGATATCAGTGGGCTCCTTGCAAATATTTGGGCTTACATTTTGTGAAAAATAATTATAATACTATGATAAAGCTACTAATAAGAATATAATATCACTCTTAATATGTAACTCACGTAATTTATAAAACAGATTAAAACAATAGGTAGAACTTTTTTATAGTATACATGTTTAAAAAAATCTAACGTTTGATTAGTTGTCTATTTGACATGACTGTCATACAATTTATAACCGAATATAAACTGATAACGATTTACGTTATTTAATTAATATTGGGGTATTAGTTAGTGTTCTGTATTGAGTTCATTTGATTTGTTAAAGAATTTAAAAATTAATTCTTAGTGTAATTGGTGTTAAAAAAAGGCGTTTGCGAGAGATAGCACTTTTTTAAAAAGCCGGCTTAATTCCTGGATAATTTTGATTTGGATACCTTCCGTAAATATGGCACGAAGAATTAATTAATTATTTTTAAAGAGTGCAAAGTTCGACAAAAATAGCCCAATGAAGACCCTTTTTCAAATCTGCACTGTGATAATGAAATTATCTATTGTTTAAAGGAATACTTGAGACACATATGATGCTATTGAATTCGATTTGATTTTTATGATTGATTAGATTAATATGTACGCATTAATCTAAAAAAATACTGGAATTTTCATAATTCAATTGATTTTATAAAAATGTAAAAAATTGGCAGCAACATTTTTTACAATAGGGAACCTGAATTCCCTGAATAAGTGTTTTTATATATGGACGTTCTCATAGAAGGGATATTGGGGATAGATGTATTTTGATGAGGGGGTAGTAAAAAAATATCTTTTACATATAACTCACGTTTACGCATAACTCGCCTTTATTTAACTACGCTAGTTTTTCTAATTGTGTGTATTTTTAGCTTTAATTTTAAGTAAGTGAGGTGGTTGCCCTTTACCCCATCGTATAGCTATCAAAAGAGTGGTTTTGTAGTTCTCGTCTAATGGTTCTGCGCACCGTTGCCAGTAGTACATAGACTCCGCCTCGGCCGCCCTATACGTTAATTGGCCACTTGTCCAATGGCTGAGCTCCAAAACGTTGCCGTTAAAATAAATATTTTCAATTTTTTAATCGAGTCACCGACAGACGAGGATACCAAGGCAGCATGAAGGTATACCGTTATAATTGCACATGCGTTAGTAGTTACTGCATTCATACATAAAGTGCTTTATTATCCTATCACGATATTTATAAACAAATATCAACATGTTAAAGTGAAATAATTATCACATGAAAATACTGAATTTTTTTAATGAGTTTTTTAAAATAGTTCAAAGTTTTAGAGAATAAATGAAACATTATTTTTGAAAAATATTTTCTAGGTTAAATTAATGTGTTAAAAATAATTCTCAAAGAGCCAAGGAATACTAATATACTTTTTGTCGTTATTTAATTAAAATAATGATTTACTCGTTTTTTGTTAATTTCGAATATGATTTAACATAAAAATGACGGTCGAAATAAAAATTAATAGTATTAGATTAAGTATTACATGAGTTCCAATAGCAACTAAAAGATGTCTAAAAATATAAATATATAGCAAAAATGTTTTAATTAATACTAATGTGCTCAGTAGATAAGTTAAAAAAAAAAAAAATTATAAAAAAAACCGTAATATTTTTTTACCTGTATCCGATCCTCTGGCAGGTCTGTTTTTAAAGATAACATTTCTCTAGCATACACATCTGGATAGTGAGCGTCTTTAAACGCTTTTTCTAGTTCTTCTAGTTGGTAACTGGTAAAAATAGTCCTATAAATGTATAGTAAAGTTAAATTTGCTGATAATTTAGTTTTCTCTTGGATCCTATTGGGATGTAACTTCAACGAATTTTTAGAAAAAAAAAATCATTAAAGTTATTTATTTAAAATTCGGATTAAAATTAATTATGTTTGATTAAATAATAATTATATTAAAACATAATTCTAATAGAGAAGGGGGGACTTTATTTAACTGCTTGCCTGTGCCTTCTTTTTTTTTTCTTCTTGTTGGGTCCAAAAGATGTTGTCATGCCTTCATTACTGTAGTCTTTACCAGAATCTTGCCTATTTAGATGGGTAAGACCTGAAAAAAGTAATAGATAAATAAGAAAAACACAAATGAAAATTAAAAATAAATTTATTATTTATTATAATGTTGGAAGCCAGTGAGTGATAGTGAAATTTTGAAAAAAAAAAAACATTTTATAAGAATTTAATTTTATCAATGTTTAACAATTGATGAACACTTAAGATTTTTAAGCATTTAACTAATTGCTCAAAAACTAAGTAATTTCATTGCATGGTTTAATATAATAAAAACACTTTTATTTTGCTTTGAATTCCAAGTAAGAGAATACAATTAAAGTATTTATTATGTGCGTAATTCTCTTAAGAAAATTTCTCGGAGTTCTGTCACGACCACTTTTTTATCGCATTTGTCATCCTAAATGAGTTTTAACTCTTTTTGTTCAGTTTTAATATGCATTAGCTTTTATAGTAAGTTAGTTTAGAATATTAATTAAATTTCTTAGAACATTAATATTGTACATATTTTCTTATTAAAAAAGTTCTTGTGTTTTATCTGCTAGTAAAAAAGTACAAAAATGGTGTACACATGTACGCATTTGTGGTAGTAGAAAGAAGCCATGGCTTACTACACTCGTAGTCATGGTGACGATGGTAGCGGTGCGACCTGCTGGTTTTATTATGTTGTATTCGGGCACATAAAAGAGTGGAATAGACGGGATAGAGAGAGAGTGAATGCGAGAAGGAAGAGGGGGCTATGTAGGAGAAAGAGACGTAAGAGGGTTAAGACCGAGAGGAGAACTCGTGCGATTGCGTTTGTCCAAAAAGGGCTGGTTTGACTCCCTTGTTAACTCGCTGTTGTATGATTATACATACATACCTATAGATACATTAAGATGTCTCAAACGATGTACAACAATCAATTATAAATCTCAAGCCCTAATTGGTGTCCAACCTAAGATACTGGTAATTAAACTAAACTCATTTTATGAGCATAATTTTTATCTATACGAAACATAATCTAAGTACTAAACAACCAAAACTGCGTCAATACTCAATTCTTAGTAAATTTGTCAGTCTCAGTATATTCGAAAAAAATCATATTTGCTGATATTTAGTTTATTGTTAACTAAATATCAGTAATTATGACATTTTTTTATTGAATTACTTTAAATTGTATCTACTCATATATTGATATTAGTTTAAATTGTTTGAAAAATTACAAAATAGACGTTGGGAATTGACTCTATAATTAGAGATGATATTATGCAAAATCATGAAAGGTCATAAATTCATTTTTAAAATTAATGTTTGCATAATAATTAATAAGATTTATATAAAATATCAGGTAAAAACACAGAAAATTTTATTGCATTTACAGAATGATTTTACTAAAAAATATTGTAAATTTTTCATTTTTCATATCAACCTCAATCTATTAAACAACTGCTCTACTCTAGTGAACCTATTATTTAAATAAACAACTTGTAATGCGAAATTAACAATTAAACTAAGGTCGATCGATTTGAACGGAAATTATTAACATATTCCTGTTTGTGTATAAATGCTTACCCAATTCACGGGTCTCGATATTATGGACAGTTCGGAATCGATAAGTCTGCTTTCGACAAGTCTCGAGCATATGTTTTTTCCTAGTCGTTTAGGGGCCTTTTTTGTCCCTGGACTAATGGGCGGCAATAGCGGTAAATACCGATTTTTAAGTTTCCTGCGTACAGATGTCCCCGTGTGTTTGGTTAGACCATTATGTTATTTTTAGCCGGTGAATAATCCTCTGTAAAGGTGTAACTTTTGCTACCCCTTTCACGGTCGTCGGTCGTATTGTGCTCGCGCTACGGTCGATGACAGGTCGCTAATCAAAATATTCCGCCCACCCGTGTCGGGACCAATAAAAGGCTTTTATGTTGACGTACATTTATACCTGAGGACTTCAAAGCGTATAATAAATATGTAAAATAAATGTTAGTGTTGTTATATTATTAAACGTCACGTCTATATCGCTTTTTCCTATTTTTCTTGAAAAAATCGGTGGGCGTGCAACCGGCTGCGGCGATTCATTGTTACCAACATTTTGTCACTTCGCTGACACATTTCTTTATTTCCCTTCTCGCACCTTCACGCATGTAACCCTTCATTTCTAGCACATACAGTGTGGTGTGCTCCGTAGCAGATGTTCCCCTCATTCAAACAAAACATCGTTTTCCGTTATTGTTGGCTAAAATACGAAGACGTGTGATAGAGATAAGATTAAGAGCGCTTAATCGACGTGTCGTATCACCAGTGCCTTGGTCCGGAGGCGTGAAGTCTTTTCTTTCTGTTTCTGGTAATGTTGTGTGTGCCCGGGACACCCTCTGGGGAACACCCGTTGGAATCATGTCTACGAGAACAATAGTCTTTGGGATAAAGGAAGTAAATAAAGCAAATGCGATTAAGCATTCGTTTTGACAAACCACAACTTCATCCCTTCTATTTTTTTCTACTCGTATGTTTTTTTAAGTGATAAAGTTTTTGAGTGTCCCTCAGTTAACTCGATACATCCACTGAATGTTAACTCGGTAAACAAGTAATTCGATAAAATTCATTTTATGTATCATACTCGTATATATTCGTATGGTGTTGACGTAAAATGTTTGACTTAATGTAATACAATCGTAAAGTATATTTAATTGATTGTATAATTTAAGGTTAGTTCTAGATACTAGTTAGTTTGTAGTTATTTAATAAATAAGGAGTAGTAAAGAAGCAAACAGCTGTTGCTTGTCAAAAACGTATAATTTGCTTTTATTCACTGAAGACAAAAAAATAAAAATTATATATAATGTGTTATACAAATTTCTTATTTATGGTAATAAAATTGATCTATGATGTGCACGGAAATTTCTAGAATTTTTAGGCATACTTTTTCTTTGTCTAACAATTTTATATTATGAGCTTAATTAGAAAAAAAAAAAAAAAAACAGAATAAAACTTTTACTTCAATAAAACGTATTAGTTTAGTTATTTCCCGAAGGTACAGTAATATGAGCTAAGCAGTAAATACAAGCTGAATAAATATTATTTTTATTAAAAGTGATCCCAATTCTATTTTAATTTTCGAATGGTAATAAATAAAAGTAAATTACATTAATAATATAAAATACAAAAACTTCTAAATACAAGGTGTTTAAGATATTTTAAATTGTTTAAGAATAATTTTTGAAATTTTATAATTTTATATTTATACTTTCGCACGTTAATAATACATCTTAGATACGTCATTTAATTTAATAATAATTTTAGCACTGTTTGCGCACTTAACTATAATTGACTAAACATAAAATTTATATTTTTTAAATAATATCGATTGAATTATTATCATTTTGAGGTAAAAATCTACTTAAATTCTATAATTTTTAGAAAAATTTTAAAACATAATTTCAAAGACCCCCAAAAACGTTAAATAAAAATTCTTCAATTTGATTTGATAAATAACCTTAGGATAAATAGATACGTTTTTCAGTTCTATGTTGCCATGAAATATACTACTATGCGTTAACAAATCACGTAAATGTTTCTACGCATGTTATGTAAATCATGAAAGAGTTTATTGTATTATTAGTGGCGTCTAATAAACGCATTATAGTTGCCATAAAAATGGACATGATGTCTTTATTTCATATACCTACACATATCCATCGCGTAAAATAAAAACGCTGTTTGTAGAATACAAAATAAACAAATAAAATATAAGGTATTATTTAAAAATAGTTTTATATTCCTAATTTCGTTAATGTCACGTGTAATGTTATTTATAAGTTTAATATTCAAGTGTAACATAATTTTTTTAAGATGCATATGTAAAAGTACATTAGAGTACATGTACTTGTGCTGTGGAATTCAACGAGAGCATGTAACACAACGGTAGGAGCGCAGTGTACTCCCTCGAGAAAACATTCGCATTTCGTTGACATATGGACCACGGGAATATTAGGCGGCGGTGCAAAGGATGTAGGCGGCAGTACATCTATGGAAGATCAAGTTTAGCGAGAGAGAGAACTTTGTAAATTCAATTACCAGTACCCTATTGTTGGTCGCCACTTATGTCGATGAACTCGGTGAAAACTGACGGAGTGTTAAACGCGTCAAACGGTCTATCCACTGGGAATTGATACAAACACAGACCAAATAGATTGGCCGGTGTAAAAGCAGAACACTAGAAGATGGGTGAGGTGTTACTCTAAGTGGAGGTTTCGATGGAAGTAATTGTGTAAAGGTATCTTGTTACGAGTAAAACGAAATCAGTCCGACATAATATTACACAATTGTCGGACCGCGCGTTTATTATATTGATCTGCCAATCACTTGGAAACCATTTTGCCCATAACGACATTTGCTAAAAACCGTGTGTTTGATGAAAACGCGAATTACGTTTTTTATTGGCGACGACGAGGTTCTTCGAAATTACTGATTTTTGTCCAAGTCTATTGTATTGATTATCAATATTGAAAAAACGTAATTTAACATTTTATAATGGTTGTATACATATTAAAATGAAACAAACGGTGCGTTATATTAAATATAATATCATGTAGATACTGTAGCAGATTAGGAGCATTGAAATATGTGAAAATGAAATAAACTACTTTTGCGACCGCCTAATAACGTGATGCGCGGAGTGTATAAGGGTGCGCGGGCGTTAAATTGAAAAATATTTGCTCTCCCATAACCCATTACGGAGTGGCTTATCGAAATGCCTCGTAATTTACTTGGCCCCTGACACTTGCACACGCTGCAAACATATAAAGTAATAAATGTGCATCGCTCCCCGTACCGATCTGGAGACGAGCACGTAGTCGCTGCCATATGATTATGTTTTAACGCGGGGAATCCCAATATGATTGCTAATAAAGCGACCGGGTAAATAATCTGTTCGTCAAAACTTGGCGTTAACGGCATGAGGCTGTTGTAAAGTTTTGATCGTCCAAGTGACTTCGACAACACATCAGGAGGGGGTTATTTATAAATAGTTAAAGTAGCTGCAGCAGTCGAACTATTCAACATGGCGACGATCAGCTTTTAATCCTTTTGCCCGGAAGCTAACAATTGGTTTTCAACGCACTAAAACCTCACCCGACAGTTTGAATTTGCTGATTAATTTGTCTGAAGAATAGACCGAACTCATCGGTGGACATCTATCGCCGCAATCCCAAATGCTCAATGTCAACATTTGTTAGCTATCACAAATCTAATTTAGAAAATAATTAGACAGTACATTTTTTGGCTATGCATCAATAAGGTTTTTTTTTATACAGTTTTACCAAAAACGCATAACGCTATCATGGACATTTGACGGCGAATTTTAAATAATTTTGCTCTCGCAGCTCGTAGTAGGTACAAATTGTACTACTGCATTAAAAAACGGACGGGTGTATTATCGATTCGATTAATCTCCCCGTTTTATGAGTGTGTGTATTGATAATTGAAGAGTATCGTCAAGGGACGTCGGCACGAGGGTGTAAAATTCGACGATGGAGAAATACATCTGAAAAAACCCGATGGAAATTAATTCTAGTGACCACTCGACACCGTCGGAGCGCTAATCGACCGTGTAACTGATATAGTTTCAATGCCATTTGTACCGTTGGGAATAGCGTTTGTAAAACTCGATACAAACTAGACGGAGGGCGCGACCGTGTAACATGTGTACGACTTTACGGTCGAATACGCGAACGTCGAGGTAAAAAGACATATAATAGAAAACAAGAGTGATGGGAAAAAAAGCAAAAGCCCGTGAAATATCTAAATAGAACCACTGCGCAATCGGTTAGATTCAGTTTATCAAATTAATGAAACTTCTTGTCTTTACATCTTCGACGAGCCATCGATTGACCGTAATTAAGTTCAAATGGTTAGTTTTATGAAAAAGATACATCTATCGTCGTTTTTCTGACAAAAGTGTAAATAGTGACCGAGTGATGCGACATGCTAAGCTTTATAATATTTTAATAACAATACAGACTTCATTTGGAATTTATAACATAGAAATGTTAAACAGTCAAATATGTTTTAGGATAAAATAACTAATTAATGAAAATTCAATATTGAATTTTCATTAATTTGTGAGTATTCGGTCGTTACAATGAGTTTTAATTGATAATAATTAAAAAATGTTCAAAAGTACATAAAACTGATTTTTTTGATTTCAACTACCTTGAACTTTATTCGAAAATTGTTCGAAGTTTATCACAATCAAGATATTATGTTGAATTTGTGATCGTCAAAACTAATTGTAATACACGTCAAATTTGGATTTTAATTTAAAATGCTGTTCGCTTAGACATAGTTAATATTAGAGATAATTACTGTCGATTATTATGTACGTTTGTGTAAATATATTGATATTTTCTATGTTAAAGAAATGAATTTCGATGGTAAAAGTTTTAACATTTTAAATAATGTTTAAATTATATGTCTTGACCTATATGTATAAGCTTGTTAAGGTTAAATTAGATATTTCTTTTTGACATTAGTAACTACAATTATTAAAGTCAAAAAGAAATATTTTATTTGGATTAAATGTGACATGTCCAATGAAAATTCGATAAATCCTTTTTATCTCGTTTGAAATTTAGTGATTTTACTGACATGGCCTTTGAGTATTTTATTTTCATCTTGGGCACTATGTACAAATAAAATAACCTTTAGATTGAACCTACGTAATCAAATTTGACTTCATTACTATTCTAATATTGCAAATACATTATATCTACACGAATAGAGTAAACTAAACGTTACTATTTTTACAGTGATGGCTTGTTTATCTAAATCTGTGTCTATATTCTTTTTATCATTGTCTATTATTTAGTTATTGAAAAATTAATGTTTATTTATTTTTATTTTTCATTTAAATATTCAAATGTGAGTGTAAATACAAAATTCATAAGTAAATTTAAAATTCAAATATTTTCAACTAATTAATAAAATAAAATCTCAATTGATTTCTTCTTTCGTTTGTAAAACGAAATATTAGAAATTAAACTATGTTAAAATCTGCATTAAATTCATTTTTTACAGTGTCTCTTAATGAGCTTCTATAGAATAAAGTTTTATTGGCTGCTTGCTAAATATAAGCCGATTACAAAGCATTTAATGGCTAAATTATCCTCTACTCAACTTCCGATGTTCAGGTCTCTTGAACCGTCCGGAAAGACGCAATTTTCCGGTCTCGGTTAACTTAATAACATAATCGGATTGATTATACGGTACAAGATACTTTAGAACTAGGAAACTCGGAGATTTATTTTTATTTCTTTAATACTGTGTTTAGTCTACTGTGATAAATAGTTTCATTACCTTAAGTTATTGTATTTTCAACGTAAGGAGTTTTAAATCGAAATAAAAAATATTTTCAACCCAATGAAATAATACTGGAGAATATTGAAAAATAACATATATTAATTATCTCAGTTATTTTTTTTTTCGTAAGCTATATTGTTCTATTTATAAACAGCACACTTTCCGTTTAATAATTATAAACGTATATTATAAATCTAAGTATAAAATTGTGTGATGCAATCTTTCTGAAATTTAGCTATTTCAATTTTTTTTTTTTTTTTTTAATATTTAAAGTTACTTTTAATTTGAATCTATATTTTTCAAAATAATTAATTCAAAAATTTCGTGCATTCGACATACATATGCAAGTACTATTTATCAATATTTTCAATTAGTTGCCTTAATGCCGTTAAATGAAGTCAAAAATTGCTCGAATTCATATTACAATAAAAATAATAACAAAAATACTTATAAGAGACAATATTAATACTACAGAAGGCAGTGAAATGTTTTATACATTTTTTAACCCACTCAAAACAGTTAAAAAAATATACATTTCAAAGTTTAGCTGAGGTATTTTACATATTCGTATACAATTACTTGAATGAAAATCGTTTCTCACAAAATGTTTAATTTAACGTATAATTCAATTTTTAGATAATTTGAAACATTTATTGTTATTAATAAACAATTCTTGATGAAGGTTGGCCTGTATTCTAAAATATATACTAAAAATACCAAATAGTTATAGGTTATGTTAAATGATTATATGATATTCTAAGTTATTGAACGAATAATGCATAACATGAGTAATGGCTGCCAATTAAACGGATTCAAAGGAACCACTCGTGAAGCCAACCCCCAATATGGCTTACCTTTCAACTGTGTGTACAGAAAACTCATACTGGTATAATTTTTATGCTTGTACACAATGCATGATTATTTATAAATAACTGTAGTAATATTTCTCAAACACCTTTTTATAGTAATAACATCCATTTAGTTTGTATAATACAAAGCGAAATAAAAGAAAAAAAAAATTAAGAGTTATATGTCGTATGTAAGTTAACTATTTTAGCTGTTGTTGAGTACAATATTTTTTTAACAAGTGTGTTTTTACATTTAAGTACAAATAAACTAGGGGAAGTATTAACATTTATTTATTAACGAGAACATTCATAATAGTTACGCAAATACACCTACTTAAAAAATACATTCATTAATCAATAATTGTGTAGTGTGCTGTATAGTGATGTACATAATAAAAATTCATTTACAAAATGCTGTAGTTGCTTGTAGGTATTATTTTCAGGTACACACTGCGGTTACAAATTTTCTATTTTGTGCAAAGTGAATCAGGTAGATCTAAATAACTTATTAATAATTTTTGTATTATTTATTTTCGTTGGCCTAATTTAGTTATGTTTTTTGAAAATTTGTTATCTGAAAATAAGAAAAGTTCTTTTTGTTTTGAATGTCAAAGAATAAAGACCTCGAGAACATCCTTATAATATAATGTGAAAACAAAATACCCTTGTTCTGAAAATAGTTTTTCAGCTGTTAATTCACGACAGTGGCTCAAGTATCGCAGTTTGGAGTGAAGAAAAAAAAAGTCTTGTTTTATGAAGCTCATTTAAAACATCTTACATTGAAAGACGACTAGTAATGAGCTTCAATAGTGTACGTTGTTGAGTAGCCCTTGTGCATAACAACAATGTCATAAAGAACGTTTCAAATTTATTTTTATTAAAATCTAAAAAAAGTACTTTAATTATTACCTAATATTATTTCCTAAAAAAATAGCTATGTTTACAAGAAGTTTGTTGAAAATCGAGAATTTTTTCTCTTTAAACTGCGGAACAGCTGTAGTCATATTTACTTTTGTATTGTTTTAAATTTTGGAGATTAATATTGTTCATATAACTGTTTTCGGTATTAAGCCTATTTAATTTGCGCTAGAAAAACAAATGATTTAGTTTATGAGTGTTACTTAAATGTATTTGTAACCAACTAAAGAGTGTTCTTTGAGGTATCCATTTTTAATCACGCAGTTTACTGAAATAAATAATGAAGAATTTCACAATAAATCTTATTAAAACTCTTGAAAATTATCTTTGCCTATTTATTAATTTTCATAATAAAATTTGAAGTATGAGAATTACATTGTGATAGATTTAGGACAATAAAACATTCAATTTAAAACGGAAATTCAATATGTTTTTGTAAAAATTTAAATAAAAACAAATTCATTTTGTAAATATAAAAATTATATGACGAATAACAATAGGAAATCTATAAGTGTACAAGAGAACTTATAAATTTAAAAATGTTGTATTATAAAACAAATGTACTTGTGAAGGATGAATTTCTTCATATAAGTTCCTTGGGCGCTCAAGGGGAAGGTTATTTCTTTACAACGAATTACCTGAGAAATAAAATCTAGTACAAAAGTTAGAATTTGTTGCGATATTCAAATATTTTGTTAAAAGGCAAAATTACTAAAGATTAAATTGATTTACTCGGAAACAAGATTTAATAAATCATTTATTCATGTAGGTGCACTTTTTCTAAATCATTTTATTAGTTGATTTTTTTTTTATTAACGTTGTAAAATTAGGTAGTTGCTTACCGATAGTTCATTATTCAGATAGCATATCTGTAATGTGTTTTANCCATTTTATTAGTTGATTTTTTTTTTTATTAACGTTGTAAAATTAGGTAGTTGCTTACCGATAGTTCATTATTCAGATAGCATATCTGTAATGTGTTTTATCTGAATGAAGTTCAATATTGATACAAATGTTGTTTTTGAGGCGTTTCTCACAGAAAACAAAACACTCTTAAGCATATTATGCTAATGCATGTGTTTGTTGCCTCGTTCTAAATATCATGTATTTATACTTATTAACAATTGTTGAACTCTGTATATTTCAACAGTGTAAATAAAATGTGGCCGTGTTGTGGTGTACTGGACACACTAGTTACGAGGATAACTCTAATGTTATATTGCATTTGCCGCTGTAAGCTCACGGATGGGTGACCGTATCCGAGTTTTTACAGCGGTTTAAAACATCATCCCCCTAGTACAGAAGATAAAGGGTAATCACTTCACTTAAACTTTTCCCTAATAAAACGTCAGTTCAACTATAGTCGGCTAGCTATAAAAAGACTTAGCCTTCAGAGAAGAAAAGAGTGAAATAAAATGCTTATCATAAATACTTCCAGTGCTATATATATATATTAGTGTATGTTTAAATATTATTTACGAAAATAGTTTAAATGTAGCGAATACGAATACAACGATTGTTAAGTTATATTGATTGATTTTGTAGTAGGAGTCGCGTCATGTGTTTGTTTGGAGGGTATACATTATTATATATTCACAATTAACAAACGTAAGAATGATTAGTCGTGATTCGAATAAAATGTGGTTTGAGTTGACACGATGCGCACATGACAAACGCATGTTATTTTTAAAAAGGCGCGCGCGGCGGACATGAGAATTTCCTGCGGGCGCCTCCATAAGCAAAGAAACAACAAACGGTGTGTGATCTTCCGCTTGTAAAGCGTTCATTTAAAACTAAACCTATAGAAGATGATGATGTGGTGAGAAGAAAGTCGGGGAAGACATAGCAATGAATACGGTAGACACGGCCGTACCGATGCCCGCAAAGGTCAACAGGTGACAGTGGCGCCATACGATGAGTGCTGCCGCCCACGGTCTCTTCCGACGTTGTGTGTGACATATGGCTTCTGTTTTTAGAGTAATTTTCAGTTGTTTATTTTTTTTTGCTCTCAGTTTTGTTATTGTTTTCTTTACTTCGCGACCGTGAGTCTACATTTGTACCTCGGAGCATACGTGCATTCTCCGTATGTGTATCTCTATGATTCAATAATACGTCTCGGTACGACAAAATCGTTTTACAAGACGAGAATAATAATTACGATTACAATAATAATATTATCTCCGTCACCGACCGGCTGCTGCTTTTTATGCCCACCGTCGACCGAGACGACCTTCGTGTGTTGTACACATATTTTACCAACGTTTTACGGGTCTCGTCGAATTTTGTTCCCACAATACTCATTTATACACTCTAGACGCGTGAAAAGGCATTCACTTATTATACTACTTGAGCAAAAAAACAAAAAGTAATACTCTCGATAGAATATTTTCACAGTCAAAGAAAAAATACAGGTGTCCACTAAATCATATTTTAATTATTATCATCTTTGTTAAAAAATAATAGAAATTAGATGTACATTCATTGAATTTTACATACATATATTGAGTACTCAAATAGTTGGATTTCATAATTAATTCATTCTTGTGAAATTTTAAACCATCAGATATAGTACCGTCAAATGGGCCAACTTGGGGAAGTTAAATATCTATTATTATTTAAGCCACATCAATCTATAACACTAGTAAATTATTTAATAGTTTTGTTAAGAAATACACAATTTTTTTGTACAAAAATAAGCGATGAAATCTGTTAAATATTTATCTTTCTCAAGTTTAATCACCGCCCAAGTTGGCCTATTTGACGGTATTAGAAATTAAAAAAAAATGTTTCTTGAAGATTTAATAAACTGATTATTGAATACATTTTGGGTTGTCAATTATATATTCAGTTAAGTTTCTCAAAAATATAAAATAATTAAATCTTTTAACATTTTTTAATTTGTTTGTTTTATTTTTCCATTAGTCAAATAATTATAATATATTATGTCTTATATTTAAAACTAGAGACTAATATATAATTCTCATTCTCTAATATTTGACAATATGAATACTTTTTAAGCCGTCGAACAAAGTAAAAAAATTTTTTTGACGTGTTCTTGTTTATGACAATAAATTTATTGTTTAAACTATTTCATAATGAATGTTTTCACCTGGTAGTAGATTTAGTATAGTGAATAAATATTTACAAAGAACTAATTAGAATCAAAACAGGAATTTTATTTTTGATGATATTCCTAAATATATTTTTTGTTTTGAATATGTCTAAAAATTAAGTTTTAGTAGTTGTGTTTTTATTTACCAATATATAACGTTGATAGTTGTAGTATTATAACTGTAAGTCAATAACAGTCCAATTTTTCAAAATCCTAACGATTATTATAATATCGTATAAAAACTACGCAACTAATATAAGCATATAAAAGTACTCGTAAATGGTGAGAAGTAAATATGAGAATAAAGTGAACAAATTAAAATGGACACAAAAGAATATTGATCAGTCTTCAGAGTCTTGTGTTGTTCTTGCGTGGCGCCACTACTTCGACTCATCGTGTACAACATATATTCGAGTTCTATTTGATTTACAAAAGCGCGCTAAGAATCTATTTTTATTCATTTGTTTGATTTAGCTGGGCAGACGATTTTGAATCATATTAATATGCTTGTCAGCACCACGCTGCTGTTGTGTTGACGACGTTTAGTGCGATCGAGTTTAATAATAATAACAATTATTATTATAATATCTCATCCTAATCTAGAGAGGTAAGAGCTCCTATTGAATTGGTACCTCAATAGACAATTACTAATAGTGGCTTAAAAGAACTGTTGAAGACAAACCGGTATTTTCAATGAAGATTCGTTTGCTCGTGACAAGAGGTTAACACAATCGCATTATTTTATATATTTTCGAAATAGAATGATGATATAATAATTACAATTTACATGTTACCTCCCCACGAAAAAAGAAAAAAAATTTTTAATGTGGTTGATTTTAATTAATTTATAAACTATTATTATTCGTTAAATTTATTCTTTTTCCTCGTCTTAATCCCAACTACTTGGGGTCGGCCAATTCATTAAATTTATTTTATATATTTACCAATGAAATAAAAAGTAAAAAAACAAAATGTTTAAAAGCAACTTGTATTTACCTGACATGCAGCCATTAGGACTAAAAGCTGGATTCTTTTGTAATTGTGAAAATCCTGTAGAAAAAAAAATGAAATTAGTTTTATTAAAATAAGTGGATTAATGATTAAGCTACTTAATTGTAAAGAATTAATATATATTTTATGAAATTTGGTATTGTCTCGACAGTTTCACACATTCGTGTATTGAATTTAAAATACAATAGAGTTCAAACTAATAAGAGGACGATTGCTCTAGATTTTCATAATTGTAAGTGTTAACTTTTTTTTTTTTATGCCTTAATAATTCTTGATAAGTTGATTAACGTTTAATTTTATTATATAGCTAGTAGAGTATGAATGGTAAGTAATTTTTTTTAAATAATATTCACAATACTTTACAGATATTTAATCTTCATTGTAGTGTACCGTTTAAAATGTTTTTTTTTTTTTTTAAAGCAAATTATCGATGATTTTTTTAAGAATTAGTCGTTTATGTTAAAGTGATCGGATTTCAACAAAGAAAAAAATCATAAATCTGATTGACTTATTATGTCGTCTTAAGAGTTTCCCATGATATCTGTCTCAAACAATCGAACCTTATCCTGTACATACAATTCCTTTATAGAGCAAATGCTGTGCAAAATTCTACGACCCCTTATCGAATTACGCTCACGACAGCCCATGTTTTGATTTGCAATGGTCTCCGAAAGTAATTCGACCTGACAGTTATCGTATTACTTCGATATATGTGTACATAAACGCCATTTATATAGATCTATAATATTTTGTACAGTATTTGCGTTCCCTATTATTTAACACAAATCGTTCACCGCGATACATTCAATATCCTATATCCGGAGTGTATATAAATACATATGATGTGTATGTGCATTTGTGTTTGAAACACGTAGGTTTGGTGGTTTTTTAACTTGAGAAAATAGGCGATTTGTTTTCAAAAACCTAAATGGTAGACAAAATACCATTGAAAAGAATCCGAATTCAATACGCTTAGCGGTGGTTTGTATTAATTTAAAGATTTTTTTTTAATTGTATGCCTTTGGAAAACCAAAAACTTGCGTAGACTCTTCAACAACAATACCTATCGACTGTCAATATTCTACCATAGAGTTATTGGGTTTTTTTATTTTGAGACACAATACCCCACTGTTTTCTTAGACGGTTTGATCAATAACTTTCAGTGACGAAATGTCGAGCATTTCATTCCATACATATACACATATAGTTGTCAAAGTATACTTAGATATATAATAATGTATATTTGTACTAATATCAAGTTGTAGAAATTCGTACTTAAACTTTTTTGTTCAGCTAGGCAATTTATTATGTATTTTGTATTGTCAAAATAAATGTGAACTTAACGTTACAATAAGTTACATAAATAATAGGCAGATTGGTCGTTACTTAATGTAAGTATAAAACCCCTATAACTTGGACTCTATTGTATGACTGTAAGTAATGTCCCCAAGCAAATGTTAACATTTTACGTCAGAATACAAGAAAATATGACTGCAACGAAAAGAAGATATTTAATATAAAGAATAATGTTTGTTTTGACACATATTCAATTTAAATTTTATAAATTCATGTGCTAACATAATTTTTATTAAAGTCATTTTGTGCTTATTGGGTAAATCAAAACGAAAATCTTTATATTTAACACATTTTTACTATAAATAAATCTTACATATTACATGTTTGAAAAATCTCCACGAAATTATTCTAAATTTGTATGAAAATTTACTTATACCAGTATTAAAAATATTTGCATGCAAAAAAATTCTTTGTCTTTCTAAATAATTATTTTGTTTTACACTATGCAGTGTAAGTTAATTTTATCATTTTGACATCATATCTTACGAAAATCAGTTCAATAGATTAACTTGGTTTTATTAATAATTTGTTAGTTATATTGACCTATTTTTTTTAACGCAGTACTTGTTTTTTAGTGACATAAATTACATATTTAACTTAAATACTTGGAGTAATTATGTCATTAACAGGTGTTTTTTTTTTTAAATTTATTAAATTATAAAAATTAATTTATGAAATATCTTGTTGAAAGAGTACACTCGAAAGATTTTTTTTTTTTAATTGTGAGAAAAAATTGCATACGTGTGTTAATTACTGTGATCCCGATTAAAATGTTTAACGACTATCGAAACNTATCTGAATGAAGTTCAATATTGATACAAATGTTGTTTTTGAGGCGTTTCTCACAGAAAACAAAACACTCTTAAGCATATTATGCTAATGCATGTGTTTGTTGCCTCGTTCTAAATATCATGTATTTATACTTATTAACAATTGTTGAACTCTGTATATTTCAACAGTGTAAATAAAATGTGGCCGTGTTGTGGTGTACTGGACACACTAGTTACGAGGATAACTCTAATGTTATATTGCATTTGCCGCTGTAAGCTCACGGATGGGTGACCGTATCCGAGTTTTTACAGCGGTTTAAAACATCATCCCCCTAGTACAGAAGATAAAGGGTAATCACTTCACTTAAACTTTTCCCTAATAAAACGTCAGTTCAACTATAGTCGGCTAGCTATAAAAAGACTTAGCCTTCAGAGAAGAAAAGAGTGAAATAAAATGCTTATCATAAATACTTCCAGTGCTATATATATATATTAGTGTATGTTTAAATATNCTATATATATATATTAGTGTATGTTTAAATATTATTTACGAAAATAGTTTAAATGTAGCGAATACGAATACGATTGTTAAGTTATATTGATTGATTTTGTAGTAGGAGTCGCGTCATGTGTTTGTTTGGAGGGTATACATTATTATATAT